TCATCACATGAGGCTTTGGGAAACATATACATAAAACAACTGAGTTATTTTTGAGCTCACTGATTACTTCATCTATCCTGCTAGCATGTCTTATTTTACCTATTTTATTTCACAGCTCAAAAATTTGGTTCTTAAAATGCTTTCAGCTCTTTAAGTTTCTCCATTAGAGTACTGAAATATTTCTGTTTTCTTCCAATTCATAGTTTATCCAAAAGAGTTGCTTCAAGGAAATTTCATCTGAGAGTTCTTCTATACTGACCATTCCTGTTCAGCTTCTGGCATCTCAGATATTACCAGGGGTGTGATCTTCTAAAGTCTCTTGATTTGTAGCATCATCTAAACATTGAGGGACTGAGTAGTTATTTCACTTTTCTTGATCTGTTTTTCTTGTCTTCCTCAAAATTCTGAGCAGTGTGCTTAGTTTTTTTTCTGGGACTGTGGTCACTTCCACTATTTTAGCACTGAATAGTACTCAGATCCAGATTCAGTAGCAGTCTGCTGGAGTTAGGGGTCAGCAGTAGAGCACATCCATACCGGATTTGCCTCAAATCTGGAAGTATTCATTTCAGAGACAGGAAAGTAGTCTGTCTCAGCCTGTCTTGTTCTGGGACCTTGCTCCTCATTCACAGTTAGCGGTGTCAAGCACTGAAGAATTACACATGGATCTGGACCATCTGAAGAATTACACCTGGCTCTGGACCATCATCCTGGCTCTGTGTGACAGCCATGGCCCCCACTGCCAAGATCGCCACACTTAGGCTTTCTCCAACATAACCAGTAGGACACGGAAGTAGGTCAAAGCCCACACTGTTATAAGGGTTTTCTGTGGCTGAGGGTGGCTCATGGCTCAAGACCATTGCCACCAGCACAGGTGATACCTTCTTACATAGAAGTCTAATAGATTAAGGCTGTAGGTCTTCTGGAATTGTATTTGTTGCAGAAGCTCGGTCTCAGAAAAGCCTGAGGGTAGGAGGAATTAGACTCTCCCTAGTGGTAGGATACACCAGTCTAGCACTAAGTGACATGAAAAAGTCTTAAGTTGAATACCACACCCTATCCCCCACTCAACGATGTCTTGTGCCATGCTATGCTGCCGAAGATTACGGTCGTATGTGTGAAGTCACTCCCTTGCTGCCACGCCTGGGACTAAGTTGGGCACAGGAGTCTCCAGGAGCAAGGAACCATGCAATCTCACAAGTGCACTGAGACCCACATTGTAAGTGGTACTGATACAGGTGAACAAGTACAGTAAGTCCACCTCTGCCTGGCATAGTTGTAGAGCCTTATCTGTGAGTGGTGGCCTGGAAATAGCAATGTTGCCTGAGGGACTGAAAGTGGGCACCTTTACCACCAAGGCTAATGCTAAATTGCATCTCACCCGAGTCTTTCAGCTATAGCAACCCTCACAGGGACCCCCTCCTCTGGAGAGCAGGTGTGAACCGGCCCCACTTCAACTCTAGACATGAGAGAGGCTGAGAATAAGTCTTGCTGATGCCAGGACTAACGAGGTTCTCTCTGTGAGTTCTGGCCTGGGTAATGGGCCTTCAGTTTCTACTGAGTAAAAGGGTCTGTGTGTAGTAATCCAAGGGCTGAGATCTAAAGCAGAGCCCTTTGCTAGTTTATATGTCTTGATGCCTGCCCAAGATGGGATGAGGAGTCAGCCAGCCTAACACAGTGCTGGTGGCTCAGTCCACAGATATTGCCCCATGCTCTATTTCACCATTTCATGGTTCATAGTGGGTTTCAAATTTCAAAAATTAATTCTCTTCCCACAAAAAAATCATCACTTCTCACATTGTGCAGCTTGGAGCTGGGGGATTATCCAAGATCCTTCCTATCTTCTACAATGCCTTTTTTCATTTTGTTATACAAAAAGCAAGCACTGTGACTCTCAGCTGAGTGTGTGTGTGTGTGTGTGTGTGTGTGTGTGTGTGTGTGTGTGTGTTCTCATGAAGGGAGATGCTGAATGAATAGCTACTCAACTTGTTTCTATGGACACAGTTACTAGAAACTCTTCCTCAGGTGCTAACTTCTCCCATGTTCTTTATTACATTTATTGATTTGCATATTTTAAACCATCCATGTCTCTCTGGGATGAATTGCACTTCATTATGATGTATGTTTTCCATGAGCTATTGGAGTTTGTTAGTATTTTGTTGATAATTTCTGCCTCTGTGGCCCACGGGGAGATATAGCCCCACAGTCCTCCTTGTCTTATCATTGTTTGGTTTTGGTGGAAGGACAATGTTGGCCTCATAAAAAGAAGTTGGCAGAATTCCTTCCATTTCATTTATTTAGAAGGGTTTTAGAAGAACTTGGATTAATTCTTAAACATATTTTAGAATTTAGCAATAATACCAGCAGTTTCTAAACTTTTTTTTTTAATGTGAGGGACTAATCTCATTACAGACTGTTCATTTGTTTACATTTTTTGTTATTTAATTGAGTTTTGACAGGTTGCATGTACTGAGGAATTTAGCCAGTTCTGCCAGGTTATCCAGTATTTAAGCACATAATTTTTTATAGTAGGTTCTTATGACTTTGTCTTCTGTGCTAACCATCATTTAGAGTCTCCCTTTTTATATCTGGTTTTACTTGTATCTTTTTTTTAACTTGGCTAGCAGTCTAGCTATATTTATCTATTTTGCTCATCCTTTACCAACAACTCTGTACCACTGATCTTTTCATTGTTTTTAGTTTTGATTTCATATATCTCTGCCTTGATCTTCATTATTACCTTCCCTCTATTAATCCTTTTGTACTTCTGGTTTGTACTTTTCTAAATCCTTCAGGTGCTCTGTAAGGTTGTTTATTTAAGACCTTTTTTTCATAATGAATGATTTTACTGCTTCCAATTTTCCTCTCAGTACAGCTTTAGCTGTGTTCTACAGGTTTTGATACGTTATGCTGACATTTTCATTTCTTTCCAGAGATTTCTTCAATTTTTAATTTCTTAAATTATCCATAGGTCATATAGAACATGTTATTCAATTTCCATACGTATTCGTACTTTCAATTACTAGGAATTTGTAGTTGTTTCCATGTGATCTAACAAGTTACATGATAGCACTTCAGTTTTTTCACGTTTATTGAGACTTGGTGTTTTTATTAAAGTTCTATTTATGATCTATCTTTTAGAATGTTCCACGTGCTGATGAGAATGTATACTCTGCTGCTGTTGGATAAAATGTTCTGCAGATGTCTGTTAGGTCCATTTATTCTACAGTGTGATTCAACACAGATGTTTCTTTGTTGATTTTCTGTCTGGATGATCTGTTCATTACAGGAAGTGGGCACTGGAGTCCTCAACAATTACTGTTTTGGGGTCTCTCTGTCTCTTTTTAGATCTCATATTTGCTTACATATTTGGGTGGCCCTGTGGTTGGCACATATATAAAATTGTTCTATCTTCTTGGTGCATTGATAATGTTATCAGTCTACGGTAACCCTCTGTCTCATTTAAATGTTTTACTTGAAGTCTGCCTTACCTGCTATGAGGTTAGCTCTTCCTGCTGCTGGCTTTTAGTTTCCACTTGTGTAGTGTATCTTTTCTTTTTCCAGCCCTTTACCTTCCATCTACATGTGTCTTTACCAGCAATATACTATAGCTGTATGCTTCTTACAGGCCCTATATAGAATTTTCGTATCATTGTCATATTTGCTGAGATATTTAGAGAGTACATTTTATTAGCTGCGTTTTTTTCTCACTAGAAGTATTTTTATTAGTATATATGTGTAACACATAATAAATACATTCAAAACAGGGACCTAGTACATATACATCTTGCATCTTGACTCCTCTCACCTCTCCTTTCCCTCCCTAATCTCCCATCTTCTCCTGTCTCCAGATCCCCTTCCTGTATCTGCAGAGTAGACAGGATAGAGCTGGTCTCACTTTTTCATCCACTCAGCCCATCTATGACTTTGATCAGTAAATTTAATCCATTTATATTTAAGGTTTTTGTTAATAGGCATGAACTTCTTCCTGTCAATTTTATATTATTTTCTGCTTATTTTGTACATTTTTTATTCTTTACCAACTTTCTTGTTTGCTTTGTGACTTAGCTATTTTCTGTCATGTAAAGGTCTCATTATTTTGTCCCCCCACATGTTTTTTTGCAGACAGTTTTATACCTTCATATGTTTTCATCACTGGTGGTTATCATCCTTTTGTTTCTAGTGTAGGACCCCCTTAAGTATTTCTTTCAGGTTCAGACTAGAGGTGATAAATTCCCTTAGGTTATGCTTATCTGGAGAAAAGCTTTATTTCTTCATTTCTGAAGGATAACTGAGCTGGGCAGGGTACTACTGGCTGACAGGTTTTCCTGCTTTGGAACTCTGCTTGTATCATCTCATTCTCTTCTGGCTTATTAAAGTTTCTATTAAGAAATCTGCTCTAAGTCCAAGGGGCATCTCCTCATATGTGACTTGATACTTTTCTGTTTTTAGAATTCTCTTTGTCTTTTGAAAATTTTAGTATAATATGCCTTCATGATATTCTTTGTTGTTTGACTCTAATGGGATTTCTTTGATCTGCCTATATCCAGGTGTCAGTATCACTTTGAAAATTTGCACTGTTTTAAATTAAACTATTATTTCATTAAATGACTTTTAATGCTTCTCCCCTTTCCCTTCTGGAATTACCATGGTACAAATACTTTTTTCACTTAATGATACCCAATAAGTCTTACAGCCTTGTTTGTTTTTTTAGTTTTTAATTTCATTGCTTTACTTCTTTTAAATTTTACTAACTAAACACAGGGCAAGCTGTGTTACATCCCCAGGTCTCTTTTCTTCCTTCGAGACAGGGTCTAACTCACTAAGTTGCCCGAGCTACACTTGAACTCACGATCCCATCCTCAGCTTCCCAGAGTATTGGGTTACATGTATGTACAGCAACACCTGGTCACTTTTTATTGCTTCCAAGTGTGTTAACTCCAAAGACCTGTCCTAAGGTTCAGAAATCGTTTCTTTTGTTTGTTTGAGTCATGGAGGCCTCCCATTGTTTAGTCACTGAAGATTTTAGCTCCAGGATTTATGACTCTTTATTTATCTCCATAGTGAATTTTTTATTCATATCTTAAAATGATTTTCTCATTTTCTCAGTACTGTCTATCTGTATTCACTTGCATCTCACTGAGTTTGCTTGATCATTATTTTGAATTCCTTTACAGAAATTTCATAATTTCCTTCAAACTAGAGTCTACTTTAGAAGTTTTCTCTTTTCCTTCAGGGTTTCCTGCTCGTGTGGCACTAATTGCTGTCTGATCATGCAGCACCACAGCCACCTCTTCCAGTTTTATGCAGATTTTAGGAAAGGAATTTTCTTTAATTTTTTTTTGTTTGTTTGTTTCTTTGGGCTAGATGGGACATAAAGGGTCACTTGGGTAGCATTACAGTGAGCTCAAATGTGTCATGTACAGGTATTTGGTTTTATCAGATTTGATATGATATATGCTTATCTATTTGTGAGGATAAGCATCTGACACACACTATATAGGGAAATAAAGATTTATTTTGGTCCATGATTTTAGAGGTGTTAGTCCATGGTCAGCTGACTGTCATAAATATCATTTCTGAAGAGCATGGTGAGCGAAATCCTTTACCATGAGAATCAAGAAGCAGAGAGGAGCTCTTCAAAGAGCCTTCAAAGACACACACCCTACCCTACTCCCTCCAGTTAGGCCCCACCTCCTAACAACCCAGTCAGCTAATGAACTAATTAATGGATTAAGTCACCTCTGCTTGATCCAGTCACATCTCTAGGACCTACTGCTGTGCTCTGCTATACTGGAGATCAGTATGAGTCTTAGAGAACCCTTTATCTTTAAACAATAATATTTCATCCCTGGTCCATACCGACTTTTGTCCATTTCAGACTGCAAAGGTATTTAATTCTTCTTCAAGATCTCAAAATTGTAAAAAAATCCCAGCATAGCTCAAAGGTCCAAGTCCACCATATTCTTTGAGAATCCAGATATACTCTTAACTGTAAGCGCCTGTAAAAAATCAGAAAGCAAGTGTTATGGTGGATACATTGTGTCAACTTGAGAAGTTTAGAAGTTTACCTGAGAGACTCACCAGGGAGCCAGGATCCACACTTTGTAAATAGCTTCATCCTGAGCAAGAGGAGGGCACAGAGATTTTGTAAGTGCTGCATCCTCCCTGGAAGGGTGGTGGTGGCCTTGGTACAATATAAGAAAGAAGAGGCTTGTTTACCCCTTTTTGCTCTGGCTGCTGCCTTGAACTGTTGCCCCTGTGTCATGTTACCCTGCCTTGGAGCTAGCTGATTATAGACCGAAACCTCCACAAACAGTGAGCTAAATAAACCTTTCCTCCCTTCATTTTGGCTGTCCAGTGTTTTGTCCCAGCAATGAGAGAAAAGTAACCAAGGCAGCAGTTACACACTTCCAAAGTACAATGGCACAGAGTAAACATTACCATTCCAAAAGGAAGGAATAGGGTCATATGAAGGAACAGGATCAAACAAAGAGTAAAACTCAGCAGGACAAAATTAAATCCTGTAATGCCATCTCCAGCACCTGGGGCATGTGATGGTAACATAAATTCCTCAGGGCTTTGATAGCCCATCCCTCTAGCTGAGCTGATTTCAGCACACACAGTCTCTCACTTGGGCTGGTTCTGCTCAGGGCCTGTGATGCTCCCCCTTCCCAGTATCTCCATCCTCCTACAGCCTCCAGTGCAGCTTCACACAGCATTTGCTCCTGAGTTTTCTGCAAGGATTCTAACCTTGTCACACTTTGTTTGGCTTCCCAGGTCTTCTTTGAAATATCAGGAAAGTCCCCATGACCCTTTGATTCTTATATTCTGCTTTCCAGGAAAATGAGCATTATGGGGCTGATGCCCAGGTCTGCCATCAGTTTGAGCAGTGGCTGGGCCCCCTTGGACCATGGCTTCTGTGGCCTTAGAGTGGCCTCTATGGAGTCTTCAGCAAGCAGGGCCCCTTGAGGCTCTCTTCCTAAAGTATTTCAAAGATGTTTACATTTTTACATCTTTAATTTTGGTTGTTTTCTGAGATGTTCTCAAGGCATTTTGTCCAGATTCAAAGCTCTTGGATTTTTTTTTTTTAACCACCACAATCTTTACCCCAACTTTACACATGCTTTTTTTCTAGCCAAACTGTAAGGTCTTCAAATCTTTCTACTTCGATGTTTGTTTCTAATTCTCACTGAAATCTCACTGAAAGTAGCCAGATACTCATGCCACAGCCTGAATGTTGTACTGTCTTGAAATTTCATCCCCCAGATAAGTTAGTCTGTTACCTTTAAATTCAATCTAATACAGAGTCTTGGGAAATAGACAAAATTTAGACAAGTCCATTTCCAGAATGTAACATTCTTGGTCCAGGAGTCCTCATTCCTATGTGAACCCTTATGAATATAGTCTTTACTATTTACCTTCCTGTAAGCATCCTAGTTTTGGAACCCAGTAAGAACCACCCATAAACCTCTGTTTAGAACACATGAGGTTTTCTTTAGCCCACTTCAAATTTTCCAAACTCCTCCCATTAGACAATTCCAAAGGCTTCTGAAGCCATCGTTATATATAGTCACACCAATCAATATACTTCTCTGGTACTGATTTCCTGTACCAGTCACATTTCTATTACTGGATCAAAATATCTGACATGCACAATTTAAATTAGAAATGTTTATTTTGGCCCATAGTGTCAGAGGTTTCAGTCAATGGTTAGCTAAATCACAGGCAGAAACATCATGGTAGCCAGGAAACAGGGAAATAAAGAAAAAAATTCCAAAAAGTTACGTAGCCATAATGTCCCTCAGTCACATGGGGAAAGTGTTAATATGCCTTAGATTTATATTGGTAGTTATACTTCTGAAGCTGTAGGCCATGGATGAGACCTTTCCCGAGTCTCAGTAGTTATGCTTGAGTGCTTTGAGGGATTGTGTCCCAAATAGCTATTGAGTGAAAAGAGGTCTTTCCTTATTCCCACAGTACAAATAAAGGTGGTACCAATGTTTGGGGCACTAACGCCACATTCCTGGATCTTTAGAACCCAGAACTTTTCCCTGAAAGACTTTCCCTCATTCCCTCATTAAAAAGACATTTCCTCTTTCCCACCAGGTGAGCACAGACAGTCCTTGGGCTTGTAGCTGTAGCAACCACTATGCCTGAAAATGAAGAGTGTGAGGCAGCTGTCTTTGACACTTAAGAGATGAGGGAGACAGATGTCAGTCCCTGAGTCAGGATGGCATCTAGAAATGTCTGTCATAGCAATGTGAGTTTGGATTTGGAAAGACCTAATGCGGGTTCCCTCTTTGGAGTAGAGAAGTTACTCTTAGACCAGCTACTACTACTAGACTAGCTACTGACTGGATTAAAACCCTGAGACGACTATGGGAGAGTTTCTGGCATTTTGCTGCTAACCTCTTCCCAGGAGGAGTGAGCCTCTTGCCAGCCCCTCCTCCCCAGAGAGCCAGTGTTGAGGTTGCAGCTTAATTCATTCCTTTCTCTAGACTGCCTTTCTAGCACTCTTCTTCAGGTTCCTGTGACTTCTTTGCTAATCTGGAGTTCTCCCTCAATTACTCTCCTAAAAATAAAGGAGTTTTCTTTGTTTCCCTGGTTCTTCTCTGTGGCAGAGTAGTGTACAGGGAAGCTCTATCTACCCATCTATTTCTTTTCTAAAAGAAATACAAATGGTCAACAAATATATGAAAAAATGGTCCATATTTTAAGCAGGGAAATGCAAATTAAAACCATGATTCCATCTCACCTCAGTTAAAGTCACCAAAAAGAAAAACCAAAAAAAACTAATGCCAGTGACTAGTAGATAAAAAGAAAACCTTACACAAGCTCTACTGGTGGGAGTGTAAATTAACACAGCCCCTATAGAAACCATTATGGATGTTCTGCACAATAACTAAAAATAGAATTACCTTGATTCAGCTACACCATCTGGGTATTTATCCAGAGGAACTGAGGTCAGCAAAGATGTGTGCAGATTCATATTTATTGCAACACTATTCCCAATAGACAAGACATGCAATCATCCTAGGTCTTATACCTGAATAGACAAAGATAAAATATGAAAGATTATCTTATTCACTTGACCTCTACATAAAGGATAAATTAGATTTCTGTCATGCTTTTCAACAAATAAGCAATAAAGGTTAGCCATTTTTAATGTTGATACTAGTAATAGTATATATGAAGTCTAAAATGAAATACACAGAATAAAAAGTGTTCTCTAAAAGATTGAATTGTAAGTGGTTAAAATATATAATTTCATTGTTTATCTTCATTTTAAGCATACTTAAACAATATCATGTATGGAATAAACAACTTTTTTTCTTCATTTTCAACTTTTATTAGTATAGAGGACCCTTGACTTACAAACTCAATTTGTTTCTTAAGGCTGGTTGTAACTCAATTTAGTGGTTAAGTCAAGACTATTTTTCCCATAAGAATTGTGGAAATACTCATAATGGAATATGAACCTCCCAAAGGATGTCTTAACTACTTCATATTAAAAAAGGATTGTATAATGTACATAATTTACCAGAAACACCAATAATTTTCCTAGTGTATTCACTAAAAAGTTACAAAAGGTGCCTAGTTTACCAGAAACAATAATTTCATGCTGTACTTGACATTCAAATTCACATCTTTGGCTTTCAGGAAGGGAGGATGAAAGGGAAGGTGGTTATTGTTTGGAAATAGAGTCCTCTTCCATAAGAACATCAAGGATCTGGCTGTTTGGGGTCCTCTCTCGCCTTGGGAGAGTCTGTAGCCCCCTAGAACCTGCTTCTGGCTCATTAGATTTGAATGTTTTGAGAACTATAAACTGGTCTAAGTGTTATGGTTTGTGTCTAGATGTTTCCCCAAAGCCTCATGTGATCATGGGGGCAGACTTCTAGAGCTCATGAATGATTAATGATACAATGCTGGAATTATAGGTATGAGTGATACACCCAGGTAGGTGTGGCCTACATGCAATATAGGGGACAGAGAGAGTCTTCTCCCTGCACTCTTCTCCTTTTGCCCTTGCTGCTTTTGCTGTCCAATTGTCATGAAATGTTGCTCCTCTGCCATGTGCCACCATGCCTTGGACCCAGCAGATAATGGACTGAAACCTCCACAAACTATGAGCTAAATAAACCTTTCTTTCCTTAACTTTGGGCATTGGCTATTTTTTCTCAGCAATAAGAGAAAAGTAACCAAGATACTGAAGTTATCTGCTTCTTCTTTTCTTCAACACTGTTCTGTAGTATATCCTGACCCTGTCATTAAGCAAGTGAATACAAAGATTTTTTCTGAATGGGTCTTCTCTACAAATGTTTGTGGATCTGTCCATTTTTTTCAACATTTTCTTTATTTTAGAACTTTGCTACACTGCTTGTTGATCCCCCTCTTCTTCAGAAAAATTTTTAGCTGGCATTCTGTGTTGCTACAGCCAGAAGTTTCTGAAATTCCTCTGTAGACAATTCCTGAGTGTTCCTGCACCCATTCATCAACATTAGCACTGGTCTACCTGCAACCCTATGCATGCTTATATAGAGACAGTGTCACCAACTACAGAGTAAATTGAAGATGCAAGTTGCTCTACACAGCTTTCAAAGCCTCTCTTCTATATAACTTTAGGCTATACTGTCTTCCAGGCTGATCTCAGTGTCCTTAGAGAAACATGGCCCAGAATATCTCAAATTAACCCCACACGTGAAAAGACATTGTAACATTCCTTCCAGAGCCCTTTAAGTGTTAAACTGTACCCAAAACCCTTTGGAAGCACTTCAGGAACAATTCAGTGGTGTATAATTTCTTAAAGTTAGCTATAACTTACTGGTCCGTAGGCTGCAATTGAGGGGTTATATTAGAAGGGAGAAATTTAACCAAGAGTTACAAGATTTCTTCAGCCAATTCTTTTTCCAAGTGTCATGGATGAGCAGGAGCATGATGAGGAGAGCCTTGAGTGGTAAACCTTTGTCCTCTAGATATTTCATAACAGTAGGACAGAAAGCCTCCCTGATCCACTCAAGAAAGTGTACTCTTGTTTCCCAGGCTTTTGCATAAGTTCTTCACATGACCCCTGGCCTATTCTTCATGATTTTATTTTTTCTGAAAACTCGAGGTCTCAGAGTGATAAACCAGGAGGGGCTTTATCCTGAGGTCACCACTCTCATTGGCACATAGCAGTAAAGTTAGCCTGTCCTTTAGAGGCTTGTGGCTTGGTATTTTCTTCTCTTCCTGGGTAATGTGTATTACCCTGGGCATTTTCTTCCAGAAAAGGCCAGTTTCATCACCATTGAAAACTTAATGAGAGCAAAGTCATTTCTCTGTGTCATCATTGCAAAGTAGTGTATGTAATTTTCAGCAGCCCTTTTATCAGCACTGGTCACTTCACCATGCCTAGTTACACTATGAACCCCAGTTCTCACTTTAAAATTGTGAAACTTCCCCTAATAAGCATGACATGTTTCACCATTATCACTCACTGATGGATTTTCCTTTATGAGAGCTGCATTTATAACTAGATTTTTCACAAATTATAGGCTCAGATATGCTATAACCTGCCTTCTGCTTTTTGTTTATTCATACTAATGGCCTTTCCACCTCATTTAACACTGTTGCTGAAGACTAACTTGAGTAAAACCTTTAGCAACACTAGCTTCCTCATGAAAATCTTTTCTCTGTATGATTATTGAGATGGTGGATTTCAGCATGGTGGACATGCTGGTGAGATTGGTCATGTGAATGCCATTCTCCTATTTCACCATAATTTCCTCCTGTTAGATTGTGATTGCTTCTTTACCCTCCCTTCCTCACTTTGCTTCTTTTCTAGATTTCTGGGGACCATTTTGATAACAATAATTGTAGCAATTACATAAAGTACTGACCAAAATCATACCCACAAACCTGCATATCTGGGCTCACAGTGACCCTTACGTATGCTTTTTTGTCATCATGAATTTTTGTTTACACCTGCGTAAGCAGCGAGCATTCAAGCAGTGAGCATTCAAGTCATAACGCAAGATTTTGGTTGCAAGTTAAACATAAAATTCTGGTTGCATGTGAGTCATAACTCAAGGGTCCACTGTACATTTCTAAAGTACATAATGATTACATTCATTGTAGAGAACTAGTATGTGTATATAACAACTACATTCTTTTACCCTCTTTCCTCCACCCCCTTTCTATTTTTGCTAGAATCAGATTTATTTACAAGTCATTATAAAGTATCATACAGATTTACAAACCAAAGAACATATAAAACACATAAAATAATTTTACAAAATCAAAGTACACTTTTAGATACATTGGCCATGATGAATTAAGATAACGTTTTACATTTTTTTCTATTGACTGCGTTTTATTTTGCACTTTATTTATACATTGGGTTTCCATATAAAAGAAAACACCCAATATTTAAGCTTTTATGTATGGCTTACTTCACTAAACATTATGATCTTAAGGTGCATTCATTTTCCTACAAATAATTCAAGATTATCCTTCTTTGTGACTGAGTAGTACGTTACATATAATTACATTTTTTAATCTATTCTGCTGATGGACACATAGACTTTTTCCAAGATTTAGCTATTATGAATTATACTGCTAAAAATATGAGTATGTATATGCTACCATGATATGGCGTCTTTAACTCTTTTGGGAAGATATCTAGAAGGGGAATAGCTGAGTCAAATGGAATTTCTACTTTTAGATTTTTGAGGAATCTCTGTACTTCCTTCTATAGTGATTATATCAGTTTATACTCCCACCCAGCAGTGAAGAAGGATTTGTTTTTCCCCCCAGACTCACTAGCATTTGTTATTGGTTGATTTCATGATGATGGCCATTCTTTCTGTAGTGAAAAGGAGTCTCACTGTTGTTTTAATTTGCATCTCTTGAATTACCAGCAATGTTGAACCTTTTTTTTTCATGTATTTTTTGGTTATTTGCATTTCTTCTTCTGAGAGTATATATTCACTCCAGATGCCTATTTCTTTACTGAGTCTTTAAATTTGGGTGATCAAAATTTTTTTGAGTTTTTATATTGTTGGTATTAGTCCTTTATCTGAGGAGTAGCTGGCAAAAAACATCTTCCCTTCTGTAGTTGCCTGCTGGTGGTTTCCTTTGCTGTGCAAACGTATATTTTCAAAGGTTTTATGTATCTTATCCTCAGGAGATTATGTCTGTTTTAAGGTTTAGGTCTTTGTCCATTTTGATTTTAGCTTAGTCATGGTGAATGATATGGGCCTAGATTCAGCCTTCAACATGTAGATAGCCAGTTTTCCAAGCACTATTTACAAGAGTGGTATAAAATTTTCTTTGTTGGTTAGGTCCTTTTCTGATTTTGTAATGTGAATAATGCTTGCTTCCAAGAATGCCTTTGGGAGTACTTATGTTGTGATTTCATTGAGGAGTCTGAGGAGTACTGGGGTTATATCATCTCTAAAGTTCTTATCAAATTTGGCAGTAAATCCTTTGTGGTCTGGGCTTTTCTTAGTTGGTAGTTTTTTTAATTAAATTTCACTGAATGATAATGAGTTATTTAGGATTTTTATATATTCCTGGGTCAGCATTGATACTTCTGATGAAGAAAGTTATCCATTTGCTCTGAATTTTCCATTTTATTAAGAGTGCAGGTTTTCAAGGTAGCTACTGCTAAATTCTGAATTTTGGCAGAAATCAGTTGCAATTTCACCCTTTTCATTTCTAGTTGCACGGATTTGGGTCTTTTCATTCCCTATTATGGTAAGACAGGCTAAGAGTTTGTGTATCTTAATTTTTCAAAGAACAAGCTTTTCAATTTATACTTTATATTTTTAGTCAGTTTTATTAACTACTGCTTTCATCTTCATGCTAATTGGGTTTGGCCTGTTCTTATTTTCTTTGCACCTTAATGTGATCATTAGGTTATCTGAGCTCACTCTGTTTTTCTAATGTGGGAATTCAACACTATTCTCTCTTAGGACTCGTTTCATTGTATCCCATAGGTTTCATACTAGCATTAATTGTAGAAATTATCTAATTTCTTTAATTTCATCTGTGATCTACTGATTATTA